AAAAGATTTATGATAGGCAGCTAGGAATGCAGCTTTCCCACTTATCTTTTGTACCACTGAATCTACCGTACTGCACTTATTTTGGAAGGCCCTAACATTCCTCTCTTGCCATAATACCCAAAACACAGCTGTTGGTACTATGCTCATGCAATCCTTCCTCTGCTTTGGCCTTCCAACCTCCAGCCCTTTTCTGCATATGAGGTAATGAAGGCTAAAGCTTAAAATTGACATGCAAGTGGAGTTGTTGGAAACTATGAGGTTTCTAGAAGTTGGGCATTTAAGCTAGTCTTTTTCTGGAAGGCTAAAACTGCATTGTTCTCTTCTAAGCATTATGTTTTTTATTCTTTTCCGGCATGTATTCTATCGACCACTGAATTTCCACTTATAACAGCCCTTTAAATATTATCCTGGTGTTTTCCTCCAGGTACCATTAGTGAAAACTATCCTTTAAGCTTCTGGCAGATGTCTATATGCCAAACTTGTGTTTTAGTGTGTTTATTAAGTTTGAATATTTTGTTCTTTATTTTATCTGGCAAGAATTAAGGTGGTTTTTCTGTTTGTTATTTGAACCCTCCTAAAAGTAAAGGCTGTTAAAGGTCAAATACCTCTTCAACTGTCTTCTTGGCTGTTATGCTATTCGTTTTTGTATGTGGATAGTTTGTCATTTTTACCACCACCATGACTGTTTGTTCTGGAGTTGAAATGTTAGGATATTTTGCATTTGGTCAGACTAACTCAGTTTTATTCAAGTGAAATGATGAGCATGATCTAGCATGACGTTGGATGGCATTCTGACAGCAAACATTTAAGTACAATAATGTTGCTTTTTTCTAATATTTTGAAGGGGAATATGGAAATAATTGTTTAAATAAACTCCATGGTGAGTGACTTCCATGTTAGTAATATTGTATTTATTGGGTGGGCCCAAGTTATTACTCATTAGTGTCCTTGGTTATACTCATAGCACATATAAAGTAAAAAGAAAGTGAACTATGGGGCTAGGGCCAGCTGAAGTCTACAAGGGGTTCATACATGGTGCTATATGTATTTTTATACAAATCTTTTTCAGAATTATTAATGTTTTGATTTGTTACAGAATAAAGTTACTTTAGTGTCCTTGAATGTTGGTCTAATAGATATTTAATCATATTCTAGGAACTTGGATCAGGTTGTCTGGAAACTGTAGATATCTATAGATTTTCAACGCAGTGGGAACCTTTTCCTCAGTGTGATGATGTAATCTTTGAAGGCACCATTCGTGGTTAGGACATTGTTCACTGCTTCAATATGTTAATAATTATTCATTGTCTCCAATTCACATTACTGTTACATGGACTCCTTTGAATGCACAAAGCATCCATGTCTGAGTCAAACACATTTGCTTTTGATTCTATGAATTGTTCTGTAGCAATTCTAGGTTTCTTTTTTTGCCCTTTCTCCCTCCTAGTTTTTTTGGCATTAATTAACTTAACACTCAGAAGCTACATGTTTTATCTCAGTAGCAATCATGGCATTTTACATTTATATATCTCAAGCAGCCCTTCTTTCTATAGAGATTCCTTGCTTTCTTTTGGTGTATAGTTCCTTGAATTCTTATAAGCAAATATATGCTAGTTTCTCTTATCATTGCATATAGTAATTGCCTGATACCATTAATTTTGTTGTATTTGAAGTTTTAATAATTGAGAAGCGATCACTGTACGCACGGGTGCATTTCTTGTTGATGTTTATCAACCATAACTCTCTAAAAATAGTGCAATAAGCTTTTATACCATTATAACCATATATGCCTACTCTAGTACCAAAACTGCACTTTGTAAGTCCGGAGTGTTCCATGATATGAATGCAGAACTTAGCAATGCAGAGTCTGTTGTAGAGATTGTATTACAAGTAAATTTGTTTATCAAAAAAATTGTGATACAAGGAAATTTGTAATAACTATCACATTCTGTATAGAGTAAATTTAGATGCTCTCAAGCCTATATAGAACCACAAGCTGGATAATGAGACCTCATTTTGCTATGTTACAACGCTAATGTCTAGTTGGTCTAATTTGCAGTCTTTGTAATTTTCTTCACAAACTTATGCTATTCTATGCCTGTGCTGGTGGTTGGATGACTATTCCTTAAAGCTCCAATGGATGAGCAAGATTTTTTCTTGATGGAATACATGCAACTTTCAGATTGCCATCATATATGAAATTGGAACACATTTTGTAGTGCTGATATACAGAATCCTAATATCTGGTTGATGAGTTATGGTGATTCATTCTAGTAAGGTTATGGGACACAAGCAAGTGACATTTCTTCTGAACCTGGTATTTCTTTTAGATATCCGTGAGTTATACCAGTTTGAGATGAAATCATGTTTAAAATTATATTTCTAAATTGTTGTTTTATGCATGGCATTGGTTGTGGTTGTGCAAGCAACCATCAATTGGGTTGTGTTGTGGAAGAAAAATCCTGGATGAGTTACTTCCAGAAATGATGAGTCACAACCTATTTGAAATGTTCATAGTCCACTCATAACCTTTGAAAATCATGGGTATGGTGAAATGTTCATAGTTCATCCATGAGTATCGGTGCACCCAGATACACGTGGATACACTGATACAAATTAGTTTTGAAACTTAGGGATGATCCTTGGCATCCCTTTAGTGCTTGTAAAATCACAAGGTAAAAAAAAAGTGTATCAGTGATATTGATACAAACCAATACCCAACTTTGTCTTTTTCACTATTATGTTTTGATGTAATCCTTAAGTGAGAGGCAGTATTGAACTTGTGAGTGTTTTAATAGATATTCATTAGTATTGTTATTGTTGGTGGTGGTGCACCTGATGCCTATGTTTTCTAGAAGGCATGCTTATTTGTGCAACCAAGGCAAGAAGGCATGTGGCTTTTTTGAACATAAGTAATGCAACTCTCAAAAGGTGCATGGTTAGCTGAGGTGCAAGATGACCTAGGTGTATGCTTTTATATGTTCGCTTTTGTAATTTTGTTTTGGTATACTCTTATTTATTTCTAACCCTTGCTGACAAAAAAAAGTTTCTAACCCTTGTAATGGTATATTAACTTCCAATAACCTATTAGCTTTTAAAAGAAACAAAAACAAAGACATTTTGAATATTTGAACTTAGGGGTGCAATTCGGGTTGGCCCGAGTTAACATTTTACACTGTCCACTCAAATTTTGACAAAAGTCCAACCTGAGCCCAACCGAGTTGCACCCCCTACTTAAATCCTACATTTTGCAAGTAGGATCTTAGATGACTAAAGTTATATTAAAGCAGCAGCAAAGGTCAGACTGATCTCTGATCCATATCCAAAAATGAATTGCAACCAGTCACAAATTTTATCTACTGCCTCTGTAAAGGCTCCCACTGAAATGAGGGCTTTCCCTCCTCCTATTTTCTTTTGTTTGTACAAATGTACAATCCCCATGTGTAATAGGTATGTATAGTTTTCTTCTATTGTTCTTTCTTTACTAAAACAGGGGCGCATTGTAATGAGGGTTTTGCCAGTTTCCCCTCTTTTATTTATTTCTTCTTTCCTGCCTAATAGGGTCCACACCTGTTCCTCTTTGAATTACGTGTTTTGTGGCCATTATGAAACTTTAAACTTTTATTTTGACCTTCTTTAGACATTCATGGATTTATATGTCATGCTTTAAAAATAAATGAATTATCATTTATCGTATTATGCCATTATGGAGGTTTTATGTGCTTTTTATTCGATATGGAATCTAAAATTGCATATTTATATGCCAACTTTTCTATATTATTTATTTTTAGAAACTTGTGCCTCTGTCTGAAAAGAATATATACAAAATCTTTCACTGTCCTATATCTTCAACATACACAAAATCCTTACCTCTGATGATGAGATGTAGTCAACATATCCACTTGAAGAAAAAAACACTTCTTAGTGAAGACCCTTTCATGTATCTATCTTTGAATAGTAATTAATCAATTCATGTGCATGTTAGGAAAATAAACCAAGTCATACTATTTTCACTGAAGCAGCAAAAATAGCAGTTTTGTTCTATTCATATTAGCAGAGACCTCATTTTATGCATGTGACTGCATAAAACTGAAATTCATTAATAAGTTGTGAAGTGCAATTATAAAAACATTAAAAAGTAATAAGAGATTAAAATGATTTTATATATTGATGGTCAGATCTGGTGATTTCTGTTTTTTAAGTTAAGCTAAAAGAATGGTTGCCAGTTACTGCCAAATTTAAATATTGTTCCAACTATTTGGTATAAATGGCTATGAAAGGAAAACAAGAAAACTTAGAGAGAGAATTTGGGGGATAGGATGGGCTAATGAGTTTTACAATTAGGTGAACTATTAGGGATAAGAATAGGAAGAGAGGGTGGAATTTTCTTTAAGGGAAGGTTCTGGAATTTAAGTGAACCATTAGGAAGTGAAATGTGAAGATAAAATTACATCCTGGTTTGGTGTCTTATGCATGAGGGGATCCCACACAATTCATTGTCAGATTGCACCTAAGTGAACAATTAGCAAAGATTTTTTTTTTTTTTTTTTTTTGTGGTTAATTAGCAAAGGTTGACTGTAGGTTAACTATGGCGCATTTGTTATATTTCTAAAATTGCATATTAGTTTGCTTGAAAGCATCATTTTTCCTGGTATCGTTCATCGGAAAAAAAATCATCTCCTGATATATCAATAACTTTTTGTTTTCATGGTCAAGCATGTCTTGTTAATTATTTTATTTGTTTGAGAACTGAGGGCAACATGTTGGGTGTCATCTCTAGATGTGGCATATTGTGATCACATTCGAGAGATGATCACCTTATTGTGTTCTCTTTTTTCTTTTTTACCTCAGGAACCTGAGTATGGTCTTGTACTTCTAGATTATATTGAGATGCTAATGGAGTTTGATTGACTTGTATCTAGGGTAGGGTGTGCCTCAGCTCATTCTGCTTTGGGGAATCCTTTGTCTGTATCATAGATTTACTTTTAGATTCATAAATGTTATGATGAATTACAGTCGTGCTCAAAACACTTGCAGAACACATTTTTTGTTACTCATTGGTGGTAACAGTTTAATTGGTGCCTGGTGGCCATTAATGGTCCATCTATTCCAAAGTCGGGGGCAGACAGACAGCAAAGTTTCCATTATATTTTGCAATTTGTTCTCGGGATTTAATTATGCCTATCTTTTTAAAACTAAGTTTGTGTTCCTGTGGTAATTTGATTTGACTTTGCAATCCTCAGCCGCTACTGTGCTTGTTTGGCATCTTTATATCCTAACTGATTATTTATTTCTTACAATATTATTTTTCTGTCATCTAAGGTCAATATCCAATTTTTATTAGCTATGTATAATTCCAGATATCTGATAGTTCTTTGTGCCCACCCAACTCTCTGCAGTCCTCTGTTAGACATTCCAAAGCTGGGGATGCAAGACACAAGATTGGGCATGATAACAGGGATCAAATGGTTGGTAAAGGGCAGACGGTCTTCAGGAATTCCACTGAACCAGACATGGTGAAGACAATTCCAACATACAACTCTAGAGCTGAAATTGGAAATCTCCATGGCATCAGCTCCAAGATTGAAAGATTGGGTCCATGTGATTCGAAACTCTCCAGGGATCATAATAGTGGGAATTGGCTTGATGATCCACTTGTGCTGGATCATGATGATTTGAGCCTTGAGGAGGGCCAAGTAGTAGTAGAACCCGTGAAGAAGGTGGAACACATGGAAAGAAAGAATTTTTCCAATAATGCAACACAAAAAGGTGATATGAAGGAATGTAGATCATATACCACTGATGCTGCAAATGAGAATAAGTCTGTTGGGGGTTATGATAACCATCGGATTCTGGAGACTATAGCAAAGATGGAAAGGCGAAGGGAGCGTTTCAAGGAGGCTATTCCATTGAATAAAGAGGTGGCCCAGGTGGGCAAGAACTCCAAGCCTGAACCTGATCCTGTGGTCGAAACGACTGAAGTTAAGCAGCAGAGGCCAGCCCGAAAGAGACGATGGTGTGGAAGTTAGGTGTCCAATAAATTTACAACAAATCAGGTTTCCTTCGAGGAAGATACACATGGGGGGGTCTCTCTGAACATCTATCCTGTACCAGGCTACCGTCAGATTGTCCAAAAGGGAACTCGAAATTGAAGTAAAACTGATCGGTTGGAACATTTCTCAAGAAATTGAGGGCATGCCATTTTTGATTTAAAGATTTTATTAAATTTGATGTATAAATAAATCTGGTGGGCTGAGAGCCTGGGCTAAAAATTAGAGTCTTGAGGCTGTTAAAGCCCTAATTGGGTCTAAGGGACCTGTGTTGGAAAAAAGCTCCCGATTGTATTCAGATGGCCATTTTTTTTCCAATGAATTTTTGTCATACACATTTATTAAGCATTGCTTTACTGGTCTTTAGAGGATAAATGATAGAATCATTCAAACAACTGCTACTTGAGCTGCATGGCATTTTCAAATGCATCTCTTTGATTGAAATTGTTAAATAGAGGATCTTGATCCTTTGTAAGACTGTGAAGTATATATATTTTAGCTGTTGAGGACTTGCAGCTTTTAATGAACGGGAAAGAAACTCGTGGCTCCTGAGTTGTCGGTGCAGCCTTTGTTATTCTGTCTTTCTGAAGATGAATGACTAGGGGGAAGAGGTGAAGCTTGCTAATGGCGGGTCAAGATGGTGGTCTCTGAGAGCTTGCGGAGGGCTTATGTGGAGTCTGGATCTGGTAGTAACACTGGGCATATTCAATGAGAACTTGCTAAATATTCTGTCACACCATATTGACTCTGGTTCTTGTTAGGCTCCCTTTGGTTCGTGGAACTAGGGGTTTGGAACCGGACCATTCTGATTCCAATTTCCAACCGTTTGGTTGGATGGATTTGGAATCGTAATTTCATTCACGTTCTTAGTAGAGCGCGGAATGGTCATTCTTTCCCCCATCCTTGGGAATGGGAAAAATTTCGATTTTTGATTTGATTTAGGCTTAGTTTCGAAGGAGTACAAATACAAATATGTACAGTATAAATACAGATAAAATCATACAAAATACAATGTTTTGTATTTGTACTCCTTCCAAACTAAGAAAAAGACCGTACAGCTAAAGTGATAGTCTTTATTGGATAGATGTCAGTATCTCTTCTTTTATATATATGCACCCTAATGAAAAAGGAAAAATTCCTGATTAGTATCCTATACTTTGGGTCTAGTGTCACTTTGGTTCTCGAACTTTAAAATGTGACAATTTAGTACCCGAACTGTCAAAATATGATAATCTAGTGCCTGTTGTTAATTAGCTGTTAACTAGTCATTAAGTGGCATTTGAAAAAAACACAAATATCTTTCGAGTGTCGTCTAATTTTCTTTATCAACCACCAAATATTGACAAAAAATTAACAGCCTCAAATCCTTGCCTCTTCTATTCAAGAAAGTTGGGGTCACTAGAATGCCCATTCAAGCATGACTTCAACTTTTTTGAATGGAAAAGTCAAGGATTTGGGACTTTTAATTTTTTGTCAACGTTTAAATGATTGATAAAAAAAATTAAATAACACTTGAAAGGCATTTGTATCTTTTTCAAATGCCACTTAATGACTGGTTAACAACTAGTTAATGACATATATTGAATTGTCACGTTTTAAAAGTTTGGGTACTGAATTGTCGCATTTTAAAGTTTGAGGGGACCAAAGCAGCACTAGGCCCAAAGTACGGGACACTAATTGAGAATTTTCCCTATGAAAAATATGTCCTAAATTTGAAGGCCTGAAACTGTCAAATAGGATTCTCTTTGCTTGACAAATGTTGGTTTGGTTTGGTTTTTGATTAACGAAAGGATTAGAGATTAAAGAGTTTGTTGCCCCGTAGGATGGAAAATATGGAGTGATGTATTTAGAATTTTATGTTATAAAAGTAAAATTCCATATGTTGTATAGAGCAAGAGTATTGTTTGATTAAACAATAATATGCCCATGGATAATATAAAAAATAGAATGAATAAGATTAGAAATGAAGTTTGTTAGACCGGGCAATTAGGTTGGGTAGGTCGGGTTTGGGTTGGGTTAAGGTATTTCGGATTGATTTTGGGTTGGGTTGTCAAATGCTAGACCCTAACCTTAAATGTTCGGGTTAGGGTTGAGCCATGGGTCAATTCAGATCATCCCAAAAAATAAAGAAAAATTATATGAAGAATGCCAAAATTAAAAGCATTAATCTTAAAATTTCAAATATAAAATAAAAAAATTGAACATTTAACAATTTAAACAGTAAACAATAAAAAATAAAGACTAAATAGAAAAAATTAAAAAGTAAAAACTTCTAACAATGCATAAATAATTTTAATTAGACTTGACAATCGGGTCAGTGGATTGACCCATGACCCAACTCAACCCAACTCAGTTTTTTTTAGGTTAGGTCAGGTCAAATCATTTTTACATTCGGGTAGCTAACCTGTTTTTTCAGGTTGGGTTGGATGGAATTTACGGGTTGGGTCAACTTTTTGCCAGTCTAAAGTCTGTGATAATATGATAGAAAGTAGACTAAAACATGTTTGATTATGTGCATGGAAGATATTAATACCCATAAGGCTTCTTTCATTTTTTCAGGTGGGACTCTTACCCAATCCGATCTGTTTACAGCCCTGTTTGGGTTTCTTGCTTTATTATAGAACGTATGATTAATGGAGGAAACAGGAAAATATTAATACGAATCGGATGATTCTAGTTCCAAATTTGATAATGTTAATATTTTGTGTTCAATGGAAATTTGTCCATTTAAGTTCAGATGCAGTGAGATTTGGAACGGGTTTGAATATTGTTGATAAATTAAACAAAAAACGAAAAGCGATCAAAATTTTACCTATTATTAATAAAATGAACAAAAAACGAGAAATTACCGATTTATATTTTATATGTTGTAACACCAAATCCAAAATTGATCTGTGAAAGAACTAATAAATCTTTTTCCATTTTCATTCATGGCCATGGATGGCATCTGGGTCCAACATGCAGAATTACCTCTGCATCTTCATTTCCAAAACAAACAAAAAGAACCCACCAATTTACTGTCAGTTGTGTGTATATATATTACTATGGAGATGAAAACGAAACCCTACCCTCTAGACCCAAACAAGACTACGGAAACAGAAATAAAAAACTCTGAAGATCGATGTTCCAAATCCCCTGTTCATGCTTTTTAATGCTTTCCCCCACTTTTCCTAGCACAAACTAATCGACATTCGACAGCCAGGATGGATGCAGAGAGGAGTAAGGAGCAGCAACAATGTTGCTAGTACCTGATTCCGGTGGGTCTTTTCTTCTCCTCTTCGACGTCGTCTTCTCAACATCGATGACTACGGAAGCCATTGCCCTTTTCGTGGGTTGCCGCCAGATGAGATTGTGTGAGGCTGCATCCTCGCCGTTTGGCCACTGATAATAGCCGCCGTCCTCCTGGTGGAGGTGGTTGTGCTGCTGCTGCTGCTGCTTCTGTTCTGTCAATTTTTTCACGGTTTCTATTGACTGAACGGGGCACTCCTGCCACTCGAGGTCCTTCAGGTCTTCATTCAATTGCTCCGGCGTCAGAGAAGCAAACGACGATATGCTTCCATACAACGTTGACCGTAACGGAACCAGCAGATCGATTGTGCTCAATGCGTCCATTAGATCCCTCTGCGAGATTCAGATTTTCAAATGAGGGTATGAAAGAAAAGATGACAGAGCCCAATAGAAACCCAAGAAAGAAAGAAGGGAATAAACCGAACAATTTGACGTTCTGATTCTAACCTTGGGACGCCTGTGTAGCTTGTTGAATCCATGCATATGGATAATCTGGCAAGAAAAGCAACAGCAACTAGGAGGAGGAATTAGTAACTCAAGACAATAGAAGAAATACCATTAAACAATCTGAATCCAATCCGTCTATAACAGACCTGGTTAAGTTGTTTGATGGTGAGATCGTGGTGATGAGGGTTCTCAAGGAAACTCTCATAGTCCTCGAGGTTAATCGATCGCTTCTCTTTCATTCTCTCCTACACCTTCTTCTCTAACCCACCACGAAAGCACTTAAAGACACACACGAACAGACAGTATTCAAAAGCTCTGTGCAGTCAGGGTCCTAATTTATATATCCATGGCTGTAAGCTGTTGCTTGGGAAGAAAGACAGAGGAGGTGTTGCATGCTGAAGCAGCAAGGGAAAAAGGCTGATCACTAGCGCATTTTGATCAAACGGCCGTGATGCAGCTCCGGTTCTATGGTATGCTGTAGGTACCATACATGATCACGATCCGTTCTTTTTTCTTTTGTTCGACAAAGATTATAGCTACTTTTGGCGAACCTTATAAAGAAAAAACTCCTTTCTATAATTTCTTTGGAGAACAACAACAACAACAACAGTATTCTTGAATCTTGATAAAATGCTCCCAGCCAATACAAAAAAATAAATTGACGATATATAACAATTAATTAATTAATGTCTCAAGCATCTATCAGAATTCAAAAAGAAAACCTAATGTGTGAAGCATCTTAAAAAAATTAAAAACCAAGAGCACGAGGTTGATCGATCCCAAGAAACTCCGTTAACTCATCATTCCACTCCCACGATTAATCTCCGCCATCTTCTTCCGCTCTACCACCGCCGCACAAACAAGCCTTGACGTCGTCTTTTATCACATCCGTGACAATCTGATGAGTGACGCCACCGCCATCAAGATGCAGTGGTAGATGCTTGAAATTGTCGTGCGATGCCTCGATTTTCTGGATACTGTGCTCATCATCGTTGCCGTAACCGACAGAAGAAGAAGAAGAAGTAGAACCGATATCTGCACCAACAGCCTTGAGAGAAAGTTCCTCTGCTCGCTTCAGAACATTCTTCTTGAGTTTCTCCAGACTGTTCCTTAGGGACAGTAAATCGTCGCAGTGTTCAAGATCAATAGAGTCCCACCAATATCGCAGAGTACTCTCTCCTCCCCTAGTGGCAGTATCGTTCTCTGCACAAGCGCAATTGAGTTTCCATCGTGCCTGCTCGTTTCGGAGCTCGCACTGCAGCGTCCTGATCTCATTGCACAGTTGAGAAAGTTTGGCATTGGCATGAGCATCGGGGACAAGATTCTTGCCGGTGAGGTAGAGATCGAGAATGGCGTCAACGGAAGGGTGGCCAAAGATATAAGGTCTTCCGGCCGGTGAAAAAACAACGACGGCCACCTTTACATCGCAAAGCAGGCACAAATCTGCTGCCTTCTGGAAGAGGCCCTTCCGCCTCTTGCAGAAGGTTACCTGCCTCCGTTCATTTCTCTCAATCTTCTCTATGATAATCCTTCTCTTTCCCATTCTTTCTCTTTCTCTCTCTTCCTCAGGATTGTTTCTAATTCCTGACCTGAGTTCGGATCTCCTGCAATCTCAATCGGTGGACGCCGCGTCACTCAAATCCCTGATCAAAAGATTTGTATATTGTGAAAAATCCATTTATTAGATTCAGTATTCATGCTTCCAACTTAAGCAAAAGGGCATTTTATGAATTTTATTTTTCCAATTCTCTATTTTCTCATAAATTCCTCCTCTGTAGTGTTTGATTCATGGCAAGTGAGATTTGAATTACATAGACAAAGAACAAAGAATGCAAGCTCGGATAGATTTGGGTTGCATCTTAAATTTATGGGAAGATTCATAAGATAGCTTGATGAACTTGAAGAGATTCACAAGAAAACTAACAATTTGTTCCTGTGGTTTGTGGTTTCGAATTCGGATTTGCTACCCCCTGAGCGTGCCTAACAGCACGTTGCAGCCATGCATTTGGAATATCTTTCCATAACAACAATATACAAGTATGGGTGATGTTTTCAAAAAAAGTTGGTGTGAGGTGCATTTTGTGAGGAACAAATCTGGACTATAACCGATTTGGAACCGAAATCTCTTTGGCCACTAGTTTTTGGGTCAGTGATTCCTTCATTTGGTTCGAATGGACCATCCGTTCCAAATTACAAAAAATAAAATAAAAAATGGCCAAAAGTTATTGTCCGAGTCGAATGAGTCTATGGTTCAATCGTCTAGGTTAATGGGTTGTTGAGAACTGGTTGTTGGGACAGATCCTAGGCCGAACAATCTGACCGCCCGGGTCAACAATAGGTTGAAAACATTGGCTTCAAGTAAAAACTAGGGATGACAACAAGGTGGGTTTGGGGAGGCTTTTGCAAATTCTAGAGCCTCTCCACTTCCCAAAACCTCCCAACTTGTATTCTCCCTAAAATCTGCAATGGGTTGGATTTTCAAAATTTAAACCCACCCCACACATGAAAATGCAAAACTGGGGCAAATTGGGTTGGCAGGTTGGCTCTAGAACCCACATCTAACTTTTTTGTTATTTCCTGTTATATAAGTAATATACAAGCAAAAAAAGAACAAATATGAAAATTTCCAATTATTTGATTGAAATATGTAGAAAAAAACACAAGTTATTAATTATTCTTCACATAAGATTCAAAACATCATTAGTTTCAGCACATAATACATAAGTTTAAATACCTTATAAGCATTAGGGGTATTTTAGTAATTGCAATGTGTGGGTAGGAGGGTTGTACGTACCCTACTCGTGTATGGTTTGTAAAATCCCAAAAACGAGTTCAAATCAGCCCTCCACAACATCCCACAGATGATGTCATCATCGGGAGATGTTCCCAATACACGGCGGGGATGTGCTGTGGGACGTTGTGGGGGGCTGATTTGAATTCTCCAAAAACATTCTTCAACAAAAAAAAAGGGATTTTTGGGCTGCAATCCCCCTCAGAAATGAGATTTGCAGTCCCCTCCTAGTCTCATGCAACAATGGGCCTCTCAATGAGTCTCATGGTCATAATAGTGTTGCTTCTAATGGCAATTATAATCATGTAGCTACAAGCCTCATAATCAGTCATGTTGCAAATAGTGGACCCAACCTTGAACCACCAAGTGAGCCTAACTCTATTCATGATGCTTCACACCAATCTGAAACTATTATTTCATGTCCCACTCATTCTCGCCACCTTCCATTTCACCTACATGGTTTTGTATGTGATCTTCCTACCTCCTTCACAAACCACCATGCTTTACTTGCTACCACTCCTCACCATCTCCTTGAGCCTACAACTTACTCTCAAGCTGCCCAATCTCCCCATTGGCAAACTGCCATGGTTGATGAACTTGTAGCTCTAGATCATAACAATACATGGACACTCACGGATTTTCCCCTTGGAAAAAGGGCTATAGGTTGCAAATGGGTCTATAAGCTTAAGTTAAAGGCTGATGACTCCATAGATCGATGCAAAGGGTTACAATCAAGTTGAAGGGCTAGATTACCATGACACTTTTGCTCCTGTCGCAAAGTTAATTACCATGCGTTGCCTACTTGCAATAGCCGCTATGAAACATTGGGAGTTACATCAACCAGATGTTAACAATGTCTTCTTACATGGTGATCTTCATGAAGAAGTTTACATGAAACCTCTCCCTAGATTTCTTGCCAATGATGATTTTTGTGTTTGTAAGCTAAAAAAAAATTTCTCTATGGTCTCAAGCAAGTTTCTCGATAGTGGTTCGCCAAATTCACGCAAGCTCTTATTGCTATTAGTTTCACACAATCCTCAATCGACTATTCTCTATTCACTTCTCAACAACCCATCTCATATGTTGCTATCCTTGTATATGTTGATTATTTAATCATTATGGGAGATGATCCTGCCCATATTGCTTCTCTTAAGGACTACATCAATGATTGCTTCAAGACAAAAGATATTGGGCCCTTATAGTACTTCTTGGGGATCGAGGTATGCCAAAATGATGATGACATTTTTCTGCATCAACACAAATACATTCTTGATATCATCACTAAATCGAGCATGCTTGAATGCCAATCTTGCCCAACCCCTATGGAGCAGCATAAACATTTCACTGATGCTTTCAGCCTACCTATTTCTAATCCTACCCATTATAGGCGCTTGGTGGGCCAATTGGTCTACCTCACTACTACCAAGCCTGAGTAAAGCTTTGTAGTCCACTCCCTTAGTCAATTCATGCAAGATCCCCGTTAAGAACATCTTGATGTTGCACTTCAAGTGGTATGTTACCTTCAAGCTACACCCACACAAGGGTTATTTTTACCAGCCAAGAGTGATCTACATCTCTAGTGTTTATGCGACTCCGATTGGGACAATTGCCCTCTTACCCGAATATCAACCACAGGCTACATCACCTTCCTAGGTGACTCACCTCTTTCATGGAAAACCAAGAAGCAGCCAATCCTGTTTTTCATGAACGTACAAAACACATAGACATTGACTGTCATTTTGTACACGAATACATCCAAAAACGGGTGGTCCAAATTGTACACATCTCTAGCACCATTCAACCAACTGACCTACTTATAAAGGATCTAAGTGCATACCATTTTCAGCAGCTACTATCCAAGTTGGGGGGGGGGGGGGTGTTAGCCAAGACAGACACATAACTACAAGGCAGTTGTAACAGAAAAAGATCTAAACACGTGGCCAATTTGTTAGGCCCACTTATTCACTTCCACTTGATCAAGTCGGTTAAAACTTGTATATATATATTTATCAACTAATAAAATATTTGAGTGAATTCTTTTCTCATTTGATACCATTTACAATACCTGATTTTAAATAAATGTGATGCCTGAAAACAGGGGGGACCAGGAAGTAGGCAAGGACGCCGCTCGTTCCCAATTTGTTATGCTTTCCACAAGAAAGATTTGATAGCAAGTGTTCCAAGTTGCTTACTCAATCGTCACTAGTCTCATCTATGATTTCATTCGTTACTTTATTTTTTTTTCTATTATTCCTCGTCTTTCTCTCTTGTTTTTCCATGGAAAAAAAGAGGAGGGATGAAGAAAATCGTTGTCACTTTTCTCTTTTTTTTTTTGAAAATTTAAGAAATAATAGAGGGCAAATTTGATATTTTATTTTTTCCTTATGATTTAACGATGATAACAATTGTAAGAAACAGTGGAGGTATTTAAGACAATACTGAAACAGTTTAGGTATTTCAAGAAATTTGCCCATTTATAAAATCATCTGATTTTTTATACTTAACACTATTCATCAGCTTTCCTCCACTCCCCTCCCATTCTCTTTCTTCTATGTGCTTCTTGTACTCTGATACTAGCCAAATCTGAGACTGCTTTGCCTTTGCAATTAAGTTCTATTCATCGTCTCAGAAGACCCAACAAGGGTCGAGTCTATGGTGTTTGGAATAGCTGCAAATGCAAGAGGATAAGTAAATTCTGAGACATTAGATGAACGATTATGTTTTCTGATTGAGAAAGTTTTTCGGGATTTCTCCTATGAGATTGTTAAACGAGAGGTCATGCGTGACATTCCCCAGGATTTGCTTCCCAAATTCCCATTTTCTTCAAACAACAATCAACCACCTTTCTTCCCATCTCCCTCCTCTCCACCTCCTCCACCCTCTCTAACCACTAACTCCACATTCCCTTCTAACATCTCCTCGCACATCTTTCCTTAGCCTCCCCACCGCAAATCCTTCTCGTCCAAGCTCGTCATCGTCACCGTTGTCCTTTCTCTCCTTGCCCTTATTTTCATTTTTGCTTTCGCTATCCTTCTATATCTCAGGAAACGACGAAATTCATCCGATGGAAAGACATGCAGATCCGACTAATGCCCATCTTCAATCGCTCCCACCGATACCCATCAAAAGGTTAGTGGTGTATCTGCAACCAGCTCTGAGTTTCTCTATCTGGGTACTCTTGTTAACTCCCATGGGATCAATGGAGATACCGATGCTGGTAGTGCCGACGGCACCACCGATACATCACCATATAGAAAACTAGGTTCCCCGGAGCTCTACCTACTTCCACCGCTTTCCCAACAAAGTTTCAGATAGAAACAAAAAAATGTAGACGGTAATACGGCTACAGATGAGGAACAAGAAGTAGGACAATTCACCAATATCTACCACTTACAAGAATCAATCATCGTTGTGGTCACTAGTGATTTGGTCGGAGTTGTGACAACATCCCCTACTGCAGGTATCTCATTATGGGTGAAATTCAGTGTTTTCCGTCATTTGATGGTCAAGGGGTATTTGTGGCAATGTAAAAGTTGACTGGGTTCTTTGTCACAAATTAAAGTTCAGGGGTATTACCCTAAAAGAAAATAACTGTACTAACAACAAAAAAATAAAATTGACAATAATAGAATATATATATATATATATATATTATATCTTAAATTATCCTTATTGTTTTTGACAATTGACTAGTTCTACCCCTGTCATTAATGTCCGTTAATGTTCTGTCAAAATCCGTACGCACATAATACCATCTGATGTATAAATATTTTTAAAATCCAATATTACCCTCCATCCCTCTTTTCTTCACTTCCCCTATTCCTTTTCTTCAACCTTCTCTTCTTTGACAACAACAACACCACCACCGGTAGAAACAACAACAACAACAACACTACTCAAAGGAACCAAGGCAAGCTTTTTCCTAGTAGAGGTGATGCATAGAAGGATAAAGCCAAAGAATCCAAATCCTGCCCCATGTTCAAAAGAAAATCCACTTGAGGGTTTAAAGGAGACAAGAGATGTATTAGTTTCTATAATCAAATTTGCAAGATGGGTTGGGTTGAGAATCTATGGGTAATATTCAAAGCCTGAAACTAAAAGCCCTCTTAATGGAGTGATTGTCGACCGAAGGAACACAAGTTCTAGACTTCCAAATGAGCATAACCTGTGGGAAAAGATTATCATTTTCCTATGCGCAGCAATTAGATGAATTTTGGGGCAGGATGGAATGAATTCAACCCCCATGAGTCATTTGCATGCCGTTGTTCCAATCATAGAAGCTGTAATCGAGAAAAGCAAGGAGAAACTAAAGAGCTCAACCCCCTATATCCAGCTATGGTGAAACTATGAATTGTTCAGATCTGCATGTTTTGGTTGCGATTGTGAATTTCAATCTCAAGGTCTTCAAGTTAAGAAGGAGAAGGAGAAATCTTGGTTCCGGAACAAGGAGAATCTTAGCATAAGTACATGGGCTTCAAGAAGTTTAGAATCAACGTTAAAGAGGATTGTAGCTATGTAGTTTAGAATCTAATTGAGTTTGGTGTCATCTCTGGATGTGTTGGTGTGCAAGCTGTTCAGCTGGTCTTGCTGTGTATTAGGTAATTGAGTTTGGCCAAGCTGTTTATCTAATTCTCTTTCATCTTTGTTTCACTTCTACTCCTATATTCTTATTATTTTTTCACTGCAAAATAGATAAGGTTTTTTTTTTTTTTTTCACCACCAACCATCACCAATGACTGCCAACAACATTTTTCCTCTTAGATCCAACCATGGGATCATGTCATTAATCTCATCTCCCGGTCAATAGCTTTTAACAACCAAAAATGCCATGTTAAGAACAAAGATATAAGGAAGTTCCTTGATGGATATAGCAATGGTGGTTGCGGACAATGGATATAGCAACGGTGGTGGCAATTCATCAATTGAGTTTTATTTTGAAAATTTTAGAAATAGTAGAAGGCATATTCAATATTTTATTTTTTTCTATTATAATTTAATGATGACAATAATTGTTAAAAATAATAGGGATACTTTAAGACAATACTGAAACAGTAACGATATAGGGCTCGTTTGGCACATCTTTCCATTAGGTCTTTGGGCTATTTACAAGCTGAACAAACCAAATTTCGGTCTATTTCCATTTGGCACACAGAAGATCTAGTTGCCAAAATACGGAACACTGAAAAGACATGAAAAACCCATTTTAGGTTGATTTTGGGAAGCTTCAAATAAATCTTTCCACATCTTTCATGTTTTATTCTCGCATGAAAAGACATGAAAAAATGCACGAAAAAACATGTATCTATCAAACATGTTTCAAGCTATTCAAATCTTCATGCAAAAACTCAATACCAAAAATCTTCCCAAAAAAATGCGCCATACGAGGCCATTGATAAATTTCCTAAACCGGATACTTTAAGTTCTTTAATTCTCGTATCGTCGTAATGATACCGGCCTCGGTAATTTCAGACTTTTCAGTTATATCTTTAAATCAATCTCTTGCAACATTGCGGGATGCATATTTTGTAATGGTTTAGGCTAGCAACTTCACACTTGCATGGTTGCATATAAAGCTACAACCCGAATTCGCCTACCCGATTTGAATTACTGAATCGTGATAGTAACAGTCCACGTGAAGATAATCGAGGGGAGGGGAGATGAGAGAAGAAAAGCAGTCAAGAAGAAATCAAGAAATTGGTTTCGCACCTCACCTTATCTCTCATTTTGTTTCCTGTGAAAGCAAATCCAAAAGTCTCAAACCCCCACAGCTTTCTCTTTCTTCCGACTTGTATTTTCCAGGTACAGTCTGCTAACATGGTAGAATAATTTAGAATCTATCATTAAAAGATAAAATTTGGAAGAATTTAATTACCATCAAAAAGTACAGTCGCTAACGTTTCCAGGTTCGCTCTTTTTATTTTAAATTTTAATTTCCAAGCGCGTCATTCTGGTTTTCTCAGGTTTGCTTGTCCTCTCTCCCTTTCTTTTTTTATTTAATTTTTTCATTTTACTTGATACGGGCTTTCGTTTTTGGATCTGAATTCGGAGTTTTCAATGTCCTTCTAAGTTTCAATTTGCGTAAAAGATCTATCTCTGTCGTGTTGACTTTGGAACAGTAAATTTCAACTGCCCGCCTTCCAAGTTTTGTTTTGGTTTTCTGCGAATTATTATGTCTCTACGTTCTTCTAAGGATTTAAAGGGCGGATTCTAAACTATCAACTCTGGATCTGCCTTTAACTGTTCGAGTTTTGGTCCAATCTTTCTTTCTGATTATCATCATAATAAGATTTAGGTATGAGTTCGGTTTTGCACATGGGTTCCTTTTGGACTTTTCGGAGTTCGGTTTAGGAATACTTTGGTTTCTGAGGGAGATTTTATTGATAAAGATAAAGGATCCAGATTTTATTTTTGAAAGCTTTGAATGAAGCAATAGTAATTTTTTGGTGAAGTAAGAAGCCTTTTATGCTTCCGTTTTTCTTTCTTTCAACATTTTGTGACACTTGTAGGTATCTTGTTTTTACTGGGTTTCTGATGGAATGTTTCAAGGGATAGCCATAAAAGCTTATTATTCATTTTCTTCTTCCAGTCAAGTTCTGTGCTTTCCATTGAATGATATAAACCTGTATGTATGGTTTTAGATCTTATATCATTCATTTCCGTTTTTATACTGATAACCATTTCTTTAAAAATGTATTTTCTTTGGTATCTTCACTAGTGTAAGTCTGTCTATTCACCATTCAGCAGGTTATTTTCAAGGATTCCCACTACCTTTTTTGTTTCTCATTTTGTTTGCAAGCAAGGTGATTCTTATTTCGAAGAGAAAGAACCTAGGTTTCTTTACCATCATTCACTCTTTATATCACAATCTCTTTTTGGGTTCCTTATAATTTTTTCAAGTTTTTGGTCTATGCTTTTTATGGCCATGTATGGATATTTTACTGACTTAAAAGTTGGCAAACTTTGACTAGAATGGAAATGATGTACTATATTCATCCTCTTTTGGATTGTTAGTTAAAACTTCTTGCTTTATTTGGCGTGAGTGCTGAGTATAATTCCTAAATCAGGTTTTGTTCACATATACAGGGATTTTGTGGAAGTTTGTAGTTGAAGGTTGCAGCTGATGGCAAGGATCAAACCTCAAGCGCTGCTGCTCCAAAGCAAAAAGAAGGGTCCAACTCGAATAAGTCTGAGTACAATTGTCACTTGCAACTTAATCGTTGTTTTGATTGTTTTGTGCTTAGTTGCTACATATCGACAATGGTCTCAAAGGTTGGTGTTGTTGATTTTCTGCTTTTCAACTCTCACTATCTTTCAGTTAATATTATGATCCTTGTGGATGGAATTTAAAATGGAAATACTTAGTTATTGTTAGTGTTATGTTCTCTAACTAAGTTCTTCACCACTTTGTAGGTCAAGAAACCAACTAGATTATGGCTTGCCAAATCTTGTGGTATATTCACTTTTTTTTTTTTTTAAATCATGTTCCTGTTTTTATTTCCTTCAACATTTTGGTATCTTCTTGATGTGTTATTGTTGCTGTGCCTTCTAATGATCAGATTGATTCCCTTCTTTGTTGCCTGTTTTTAGTTATTACAATGTTTTTTCTTTAAGTAGCTCCTTTTTATTTGTTATATATTTTTATGCCACAGGATGTTGATACAGTTGGAGATCCAAAGAAATTTGATCTTCCTAGTTTTGCTGTAAGTTTCTTCTCAAAAAAATAATGAGTTTCCACCTTGGTGTGGTGAAATATATATTATACAACTGGATATGACAATCATTTTGTTTGTTCCTTAACTGTTCTTATTCATATTTGAATGAGCAAAATTTTGTGCTCATTTAATTAGCTAGAATAGTGATTAAATTAAGTTAAGTACCTCCCCTAAGTCAATCAATAGTTATGTTTTTTTACATAAAGTTTATATCCATGGATGTAAAAATACAAAAATAAACTACATTATTTTAGAAAGTAAACCATCCTGCAACTGCAGATTTTATATTTTCAACACAGCTACAAAACCTGACTATACACACCGGGACAAGCATCTATACTAATAGTCTAATACATGTATAATATTTTTCTTTTTTCTGGATGGTAACTATCAAATTTCCTTTAAAAAAGAGAAATAAGCTACTATATTGAGAAGTGTAGGATGAAACCAAAACAAAAAGTAGCCACTTTATCCAACGTTGCAAGGCCTAGGTGCATAGGTGAGGTGCATGCATACATTATGCATCTTGCCTGAACCTAGCCAAAGCCCCTTTTAAAAGGTGCATTCTTGGTGCACCCCATGCCTCAGCCCAGGTGCACACCCTTTTAATATGCCCTTTTTTATTATTTTTTTTGTAGATTTTTATGTATTTTACACCCTTATAATGGTTTGCCAACTTCTAAATTATTACCTTTTCTCGTTGTTTGTACACTACTAATGAACTTCAAATATTTGAAGCTTTAATTCATGCATATAGGATCTCAACTAGCAAAATTTCCATTGAAGAAGCTACAACAATTACAACCAGTAGCTGATCCCTGATTCTAAAATACAATGAATGGCAACTAGAATCACAAAACATCTCTATATATAAAGGCCAAAAATTGAGCTTGGTAACGCTGCCCTGAACCCTTGAATGGACTTCTTTGGGCTTGCCTCAGACTCAGAGGGCTGATCTTCTAGGGTTAGGAATGGAAGATGTTTAACATCACACTAGTTACTTGAAGTAATGCAGTAGGAGATAAGTAAACATGTTTAAAGTTTCATATTATTAAATGCTTGAAGTACTTGGGTACAATTGACATATGTTTGGTTCACTTTCACTTCCACATTTGCACATTGAATATGTTCTAGATGTCATTTTTCTTTTGGTAAGGTGTTGAAAGTTTCATTCATAACCAGTAAAGATAAATGGCTGTAGGAGGAGAGGTTTCCTCACTAGCCTAGTACAACTAAGATATATTTCAAGATTCCTTTGAGACCATTACACAGAAAAGTTATTATCCCAAAGAATTCTTCCCCAAGATTGCTGAAGGTCATTGAACTGCAAACCCCTGAACAAAGCATCGATAGATACCCATTCGAGCAGAACTCTTTTTATCTTGGCACACCACTTCTCAATGAGGGGAATGATATTTGAAAGTTCTGCCATTTCTCTCCCTGCAAATACATCAACAGATGACTAGAGTAGTCATATTCCAAAGTACATTACCCCTCTTGCTGAAAGCTTGGGACCTCCAAGAAGAAACTGAGGACCTAATATCAGAAGGCATGGCCCAACACACTCCAAACAGCTGCAAGGCATGAGACCAAATAGAATAGGAGAAGCTGCAGGCTACTAGTAAATGCTGTATGCTTTCCTTGACTTGTCCATATAGGCAGCTGCAGTTGATAATAAACATTCCTTTTCTTCTCAGCACGTCTATAGTTGGTATTTTACCCTTGATAGCAGCTCAGAGAAAGATTATCACCTTTGAGGGAACCTTCTACTTCCAGATAAACACCCAAGAGGGCTTTTCCATCTCTTCACAAGATTTTGAAACATTGATCTAACTGTGAAAACTACTGATTTTTCCTTTGGCCACCAGAAACAATCTTCTAGTGCTGGCGAGGTTTTACCTGTTCCAGAATCTGCATCATAGCTAGTAGGATGTCCAAGTCCCAATCATTGACATTTCTTCTCAATCTGGGTCGCCATGCAATCTGATTTGCATTCTCCTCATAACAATTGCAGATACGGGCATCTTTATCTTGTGCCAGAGCAATGGGGAAAGCACAGCTGAGTGAACCATTTCCTCACCACCAATCTTTTCAGAAGAGAATGTTTTCACCCTGTTCCTAGGGTAACATACTTGAAAAAAATATCCCCGTTAATCCTGATTTCCTTCCACAAACCAGTGCCATAGGCTTCATTAATAGGGCCTGATTCCAACCCCAGGTCAGCCTCCCCATACTTCCATTTTATTACTTTCCTCCAAAGTTCATTCTTCTTAGTACCAAACCACTACAACCACTTAGATAGGAGAGCAGTATTAATATGTTTAGTGGTCAAATACCAACTCCTCCTAGACGTTTGGGCTCACATACCTCTGCCCAAGCCACTAGATGCATCTTCTTCTCTTCCTCTTTACCGTTCCATAGGAAGTCTCTTCTCAGTTTCTCAATGGTATTCAAAACCGAGGCTGGGGCTCTAAACAGGGACATAAAGTAGGTAGGAATGTTTGACACAACACTCAGTATTTAAGTAATTTTACTTCCCCTGGATAGGATAATTCTTTTTCCAGCTGGCTAATTTACCTATTCATATAATATTAATATTAAATTAATAATATCATATTAATATTTTATAATTAATATCTTAGTATTTTATTATTAATTTATGAATACTTTATTAATATATTATTATTTTACTAATCTTTATTGCTAGTTTATTAATAATTTATTATCTTATCATATATTATTATTATTTTCTTATTTTAATATTACTTATGACTTAATTATTAATATATAATTATTATTTTATTACCTTATTAATATCTTATTACTATTTATTATTATTATTATTTATTAAAGTATCTTATTATTACTTTAATAATATTTCACTATTTTACTAATACTTTATTAATCTTAGTTTTTCTGGGTTTTTTTTGTTAGAAGTTCTTACTTTTTGAGGAATTCTAGAATGGGAATCCCATTCCACCAAGAATGGGAACTGGAACCCTCTTTCCAACCAAACAAACAGCTGGAATTGGAAAGGGCCTTTCTGATTCCGATTCTAAGCACCTATTACAGGGAACCAAACAGACCCTAAATCCCTCTAAGAGACGGCTCTATCAATCGGTCTACTTAAAGCATCTGCAACAATGATAAACAGGAAGGAGAATATAGGATCACCTTGACAAAGACCCCTCTTCACTGCAAAACAGGAAGGGGGATATAGGATCACCTCTTTGCCTGCCATTAATCAAAACTGAAACTTTAGATGCAGCAGGAAAGCAATTCATCCACTTTCTCCATTTCATTCTGAAACCCATTCTTTTGAGGAGGTAGTCAACAAAGCCCAACTGCACATGATCATATGCCTTTTCCATATCTAATTTGCAAATTACTCCCAGATCTTCTTCTTTGAGCCTTGAGTCTCACCACTAAGGATCAATCTAAAATCTATCTGTCATCAATAAATGCACCTTGATAGGACTGTAGTCCTCTATATCTGATGCATCTCGCTTCTTTGGAATCAAAGAAATGAAAGTAGATTTTGTAGCAACTGCAATCTGCCAATTCAGCACTGACATAGAATCTGCAAAACAGCCAATAAATCTTGCTTAATAAAATGCCAGCACTTCTTATAGAAAGTGATAGGGAAACCGTCTGGTCCAGGGGCCTTATCGCCCACTAAATCATTTATGGCTTGCGAGATCTCATCCTCCTCAAAGGGCTTTTCCAAGATATCACTTTCCTGAGCTGAGATTTGAGAGAAATTGGGGCAATCTAGCTGTGGTCTGTCCACCTCTTTTGCCAAGAAAAAAAAATCTTTGTAGAATTTTAGTATAAGCTCTGCTACTTCTTTATCTCCTTCAAAGTGTGAGCCAGCCATACCAATCCAATTTATCATGTTACTTCAAAGTGTGATCCAGCCTAGCTTCCTGCTTGCACTGATCTTTAATCTTCTGCTTTAAAACTTTTAACTTGAACTAGAAAACAAAACATGGAGTACCTTCAACCACAACTTCAGCTTCATTCCGCCACTCTTCCAATTTTTCCATAGACCTGGAAGTTAAAATAAAATAAGCTCTAAGCAAAATGGTCAGCCCTTCCTTTGGGTGTTGCCAATCTTCAGAATGATGGATCTATGATCTGAAGTTGGCCCAGGGAAGGCCTCCTAGCTGATTTCACCAAACTTATCTCCCCATCTGTTGTCAATGAGAAACTGATCTAACTTTGACATCATAGATTTAGACCTTAAATTGCTCCATGTGAACTTTGCACCTTGAAGAGGTAGGTCCATTAGATTCCATCTGTTAACAAATTCCAAAACACCTCAATCTCTCTAGTTAACCTTGGATTCCCCTTCTTTTCATAGTAGAAACAGATGATGTTAAAAGTCTCCTGCTAAGCACCAGAATCCCCATCTAGTTGCCGCCAAGTCCAATTCATTCAAAAAGGCTTCTTTGAGACCCGAGAAGGTTGGTCCGTACACTGCTGATAGAACCCATGTCTCATTGTCTATCTTATTCTGAAATAGTGCTAAGACTGTAAACTTGCTGACCCAATGATCCAGCCTCCTAAACATTTCTCCATCCCAAGCCATTAGGATTCCCCAGAAGCACCTATTGAAGGGAGTAATAGACACTTTTTTTTTTGAAAAGTAAGTAAGAAAATTCCATTAAAATAAAAAGAGAATACAGAAGGTAGGTGATAAGAAATCACCCAAGAGAAGAACAGACTAACTTAGACACTTCTTACACTAACAACAGCCTGCAAAAGAAAAAAAAGAAAAGAAAAACTCTGAGAAAAAGAAAACTAACTCCTCTGGAACAGATCCTAGATGAAACCAATAAAGAAAGGTCAGCTGCACCGCGTGCAAGATGAGTTTAACAGAGGAAAGACCTAATCTTCCCCTATAGAAACCTCCTCTTGGTTATCACCATCTTCATCCCATTTCCCTCCAATTCTCCTTTTCTCGACTTTCTTCCTTCTTCTTTCTC